TATATATATATATATATATATATATATATATATATATATATATATATATATATATATATATATATATATATATATATATACACACTTATAAAAACTTAAAGTTTAGGTTCAAGTGTTTCTTCGATAATCTTTCACCATATATGTCATACCTTAAGTTTTAATCCCTGGATGGATAAATATTTGAATTAACTTATAATGATTCAGTGAGTACAGAATTTGAGTTTGAGTATTTTATATCAGTGACTTAGATGTAACAAAATTAATGAGTCAAATCATTCATCTGATTATGTCATGACAATATAATTATTTCAAAATACAACTATATCGCTTTAAAAAATAGGATGATTAATTTTTTATTGCTTTGATATAACTGTTAAAAAATACAACTATATTACGGAAAAGTTAATATGATTGATTTTTTGTTACTTTCATATAAATATTAAAGGCATTCAAATTTAGGTTTTTAGCATCGACATTAGTTTAACCATTTTTTAATCATATTTTAAATTTTATATCCCTTCTACTCTGTTAATCTTACAGTTGAATTAATTAGATTGAACCAGATTTAATTTGTAAATTAATTAAAAATACAGATAAATGGGAAAGGGGAAAGATAGTTGTGGAGGGGCAAAATTGATATTTAAAAACGCTGGGTTATTTGTAATTAAAGAAAGAAACAGAGGGTTCCCGCGGTAATAAAAGTTGAAATTAGGGAGTCGAGACTCTCACTATCGTTACCGCTCCCATCTTTTGGATAAAGCTTTGAGGCCTCTCTCCGCCTCCCTCCGTCGCGGCTTCGCTCTGTCGCCTGTCTCTCCGGAGATTGTTGCCGACGGGATGCTCGCAAACCCTACACTACGTCATGGCGGTCGCGCTCATCCTTTCTCGTCTCCCTCGCCTCCTCTTTTCTTGTCTTCGCCGTGGCGCACGAGCCTTCTGATCGCCTCCTCTCGCGTCTGCCCCTTTGCCCCCTTCTCCCGCTCCTTCTCTTCCTTCCCATCGCTCGGATGGAAGCGGAGGAGGTATCGGGTCGGCGCTTCTCTGGAGTCGGTTCCATGCGAGGTAGGCGGCTCCGCGGATGATGGAGCCGGTACCGTGTCGAACAAGTTCTCCGTCGAGATTCCCTTCGGCAACCGTCGTGTAATTTCCTCTCTCAATTGCCATGCGTTGTCGCCTGATATCTTGATGTCTTGTTTTCTTTCTCTAACCCTTCGTTGCTTCTTGCTCCAAGAAAAAGAAAATGCAATTCTTTTGTTCGGAGATAATCTTTCTCTTTGTTCAACCATTGAAGTTTAGAGCGAAAATTTCTTTTCTTTTAGATGTTTTTCTTCCTACCTTTTGCATGTTTTGCCTCAACATGGCTGAGTTCCGAAAATTTCAGATACTGGTGGAGACGGGCCATATTGGGAGGCAGGCTAGCGCTTCTGTGACGGTCACCGATGGGGAAACCGTAAGCCCTTTCTTGTTTTACTTTAATAACGGTGTTAACTCTTTTTTAAAAGAACATAATGGATTCTGGAAAGGTCGCTAGCTCAAATGCCATGAAATATGAATTGTTTTTTGCCCTTTTCCCCATTTTTTAGTTCTTGTTAGACACTTTGTGTCCGATTTGAATGGCCACGACAGTTCTTGTTAAACATTTGATGAATGTTATGATTAAAGGAAAAAGACTTGTATGCGGGTTGCTGCATTTTGAAGAATCACAGAAGACTACTTAACAGTTTCCTGAAAGCAATTTGTGTGTCTTGGTCATTCGCATCAACCAATAACTGTGATGCCTGATGGTGGCTACTTCTATGAACTGTTAATTGCCTAGCTATCCGTAGTGCACAACAGGCCAACAGTGGGGAAGAAAGAGGGAGAATGTATGCGATTCTTACTAGTGTTTCAACTTTTCCACCAGTACTGTTACCATGACATGCATCTACATCGCCAGCCCCCCATGCACCTAAATATATATGGTATATATTTCTCATTCTGCTGTATAACTGAGCAGATAACTTAAGTGATACTCAATAATATTCCTGGTTGGCCAATATTTTCTGTTCTAGTCCATTTTAGCATATTCTTTGGGATAATGAAGCAAATTTCCGGATGCTACATTGATTTTGGTTCACTTTTCAAGATTATTGGGAAACAAAATTCTCAATACTACACCGAGAATTTTGAATTTTTAAAGCTTGAACCTAGCTTTCTACATGCTCTTAAAGAAACTCGGTGTCTCATCTACTTGTTACTCAGTTTTGATGCTTAAATTTCTAATGAGCTGGCAAATCAAATGCATACAAAACAAAGTGCAGCTTGTGAGGTTGGTGACTGGTGATGGTATGTGACGTATAATGTATAGTGTATTTATTGTTGATAATATTTTTTTATCGATATTCCTGTTGGAATTTCCTTTTTTTTGCAATGAAATTCTTTCAATAGAAAGCCCCTCTGCTGTTCTTTTGAAAATTTGAACATTTTAAACTGCTAAATTGTGAAGGTTCATCATTTTTGCATAATCCCGCCATTCTGGACTGTTTCGTCCGTTGCTTAATGATGCCTTACTATTGGTTGGACAAATCTTATCTTCGATGGCTTTGCTTAATGTTCGATAACATGTCTTCTTTGCAGTTAACATTTTGATTTTATTTTAAACATACAGATTGTGTACTGTTCAGTATGTCTATCTGACGTACCAAGTGAGCCTTCTGATTTTTTTCCACTCACTGTAAATTATCAAGAACGCCTCTCAGCTGCCGGTCGAACTAGGTATGTGCTGTAAAAATATTTTAATCTTCATAATCTTTCACCTTCTTCATTGCTTATGATCTATCTTGGATCCAGTGGTGGGTTCTTTAAACGAGAAGGGAGAGCAAAAGACCATGAGGTCAGAATATTTTATGGAAAAGCCATTGTTTTGTGTTACATAGCAAATGATACCATTTTATTTCATGTTCTTTGACTATATGTTATGTCCATCTGTATGCATTTTCTAATGTTCATTATGTGTTTGTAGGTCAACTATTTGCATATAGCCATGTGTATTCACCATTATCATGACATGATAACAGGTGAAAACAAGAAGGAAAGGAAAGATTATGGGGGTGGTAAAAAAGGAAACATATAAGAAAGAAGCTAGCATCTTATAATGTATCAAAATGCACTTCTATAAGAATTATTAAACTGGGAAATGGTTTGAAGAGCTAGCATTTGTAGAGAACATATACTTGATTACACTTATTGAAAATTGTTTTAAGTTGTACTTATTCTTTCCACCCCGAGTTCATCTCACCTGTCCAAGTATTCTTTTTGACGAGCTTTAAATTCTGCTGCTTTTTCATTGACATCGCTTTCATTTGACTTCCTTGGTGAGTTAGTGTCCCATAGGTGACGAATCCGGTTGCTATATATGAGTTCAAGTTCTTTGAGGACCATTTAACCCTGATCATGTCTTCAAAATAGTTTTTTCTATGCAGATGCAGCTAGTATAGGCTGCAGTAGATATGTCTCTATCTTGAACATCAACAGATTATATGGTATCATACAGAGTTGTTGGCTCAGATATGTTGTAATCCAAAAATTGGCTAGTCTCACAGAAAATAACTACAAATTTAGATGTATAGGTTGCCGACAATAAATTCTGGCAACAGATGGAAACTATTGATGTACGGAAGAGAAACAAATAGAGGTTAGTTTTGGGAAAAAATAAAGAATATACGAGAGTAAGAAGATATTGTGGAAGAGGGAGAGAAGATAATAGGGACTGATCGACTAGATAACAAAACATATATTATTTTAAATTATCCTAACAGAAGAATAAATATAAATTATCTATTACATCATGTTGGGAAGGGTTCTTATATGATTTGGACTACACAGAAGGAACACCAATTAATATCAAATCATCTCCTACCTTATGTAGGATGCTAGACCCTATCCAAATCGTAATCTACATCTCCCACAATGCTTTGGTTTCTATTAGGACCCAAAGAAAGATTTAGATGTCACAATTTTGACACCATATTGAAGCCAAAAATAAAGAAAGAAATTCAAAGTAAGATAAGCATAATAAAAAAATTAAAAACGCAAGATTCTTATTCTATATGTATCAAACTCTAGATTGACCCAAACCTAGAATCTTTCCTGCATTAGCTAACTTCAGTGAAGTGGATCTTGTCCTCGTGATCTGAAGGATGGTTGAAGGCCTTCCACACACAGAGAGGCAGTGACATAGACAAGAACAAGGGGCAGTGACATGGAGGTGGAGGAAGGAAAAGGAGTAGGTGGTTGAGAAGGAAAAATAGAAGAAAAGGATGGTGTAATGGGGTAAAAGTGGGAGGAGAGAGAGAGAGAGAGGAGACTATTAAAACTTAAAAGCTATCAATAGTTTCTTAAAAACATATTAAATAGCATATGGGATCAGTACTGTCTGATAATGTTGTGTATACTGATCCATGCTGTTTGGTCACATGGTTTGGTATGCATGCTGTGTGGCACAACCTGTACTGGACTCAATTGGGTGAAATTGCCTTGTCAGCTTCCTAGTTGGCTTTCAGACTGGTAAATACTGGCCCATACTGTCTTGTACAATATTTTAATCTACAGCTGGAAGGTCGAAATGAAACAGGAATGCTTACTGAAAATTTCCTAAGGTTCCACTGCAAATTATCGTCCCTTTGCTTGAATATGGTGCTGAAAGGAGAAGATTAACCATATAGCGTTGAAAAAAATAGAGCAAAAAAGTGCACTCAATGGGCCCTCGAGAAGAAATTACAAAAAGGACATGTCAAATTGAAAAGCGGAAAGACTACATAGTTGGAGGATCTTAATAGAGAGCCTCGATATTGAGATGCGGTCAATGCTCGTCTGTTTTTTAGAGAAACAGCAACATGAGCTGTCCAATTTTTGTTTTTTTTTCAGAGCTCTCCATTAACAGTCTGCAGTATATACAATGAAACCCATTTTTAACCCATCTACCATAAAGTACGATCATGATTGAGTAGGTAAGTGCTATTATCAGTGGTGCTATCACCAGTAGTTGACATTGGTAAGGTGTCTGACACTGATTATTTAGGTTGTTGTTCATTATCAACCTGTAACTTAATATCTTGAGATTTTGCTGGGACACCAAGAGATTGAGAGGATGTGATTCTAGAATTGAACTCACACATGGAAAATTTAAGTCAGTTATGGTTGAGGCTGAACCAAGTTTGAGAAAGATGTTCTGTTTTACAATCTTGCATTTTTTATAATTTCTTAGAATTTCGATAATTTTCAACCTTAATTTGTTTTCGAGGGTCAATTTGAAGTAATTGCCATTTTCCATTTTCCATTTTTGTGGTCATAAAACACCTAAATTGGGTCTGGGGTAGACTTGTCATTTTTAATTAAGTTTGGAAGACAGATATTGTAGGTTAAACTTTGTTGGGCAGCAAATCCTTATCCATACCTATTTTTAGTTTAGATACTTAGAAGACTTATAACTTAGAAGGACTAGAAATAGTATCTGTTTAAGATCTGTAAGCGACCATATAAATGGTTGGGAAAACATGCATATGACGCATTTTCAATATCATGATTTTGTTTTCTTAGTTATGACTCTTGGTTTCTTCTTGTCTTCTTCTTTTGGTTTCATTTTCTCTTTTCATCTCGTTCTTCTTGCTTCTATTATGCTAATAAGATATCTATCATCTTCCTCTTGTTCGTCTTCCTGTTTTCTTTCTTTTCCCAACAGGAGGCTGCTTTTACTGTTCTCTCTTTTTAATGGCAAACATAGAAGCAATGTTTTCCTTGTAGTGGCATTTCTGTAATTTTCATCTGATGGTTCATTTACTTCTTAGATCCAGTCTTTTTCCTTTCTCTAAAAGTTATCACATCAGTGGTTCTATGGTCTCTGAACAGCATTTTCTTGTCATCTATTGTTTGTGACTGATTGCCAAGGAAAAGAGAGTTTTCTTCACACAGAATCACATAGACCTGCTTTCTATATGTTTAATGCAGGATGGACTGAGATCTTAACTCTGCAATGATTTTACCATGAGCTACTATCGTAGTACTGTCAGTTAACTATCCAGCTGGAGCACTACTTCTGTTTCTTATGGATTTAATGCATATAATTCAACAGCTGAGCTATTCTTATTCTAAAGATGATTGTTTATATTAACCTGTATACCTGTTTCATTCAGGTTCTTACTTGCAGATTGATAGACAGACCTCTGCGTCCGACCATGCCAAAGGGTTTCTACTATGAAACACAAATATTATCATGGGTAAGTTGCTATGCAATAGTCATTTATTGGATGTGTTTTTCACTCGTTCTGACTTCATTCAAGGCTTGTGTTTAGGCATTTACTATCCCATCACAGCACACATGATGGTTTAATTTTTTTTTCTTTCACTACCACTAACACATCAAAGTTGGTACACAGTATGTACATGTGGTAGATGATCTGATGCATTTGACAAATTGAAGAACAATTTAATTAGAAATTGGCTCTTGGTAGGCCAGGCAGAGAGAAAGTCTAAAGACATGCACCTTTGTTTATCTGCATGCATATATATGATCTGTTTTACTGTTGGACAAAAGTCTTCTTTCCAGACCATGCACTTCTATCTTAAACTAAAGCATCTTCCATTTTATGATGTATTATCTGCTATTAATTATTTCATGCGCTGTTATTTTTCTGATCAGTGGATATGTGCATACCTTGAGATAAACCTGCAACTTCTAGAAGGAATAAGATAATAAATCATTTGTGTAGATGGATAACTAAGATGTGATTGAAATCACATGCATCAATAGAAATTACTATATAAAAATTATCATGATGAGGTGCATGGTTGAATATGATTAAAACTAAGTTCCATGAGCTTATTGATTAACTTTAGGGGAGAAATGAATTGATGCAATCGAATATCTCCGAGGGAAGGTTATATCATTTTCAGGAGTTCAGAATTTATTGGTAAAGAACAAATACTTTAGGGCCAAAAACTTATTTACGTGACTCTCAAGGTATGTATGACCTGCGGCAATGGACGATTCTCATCTTTGAGACTGGTGGTCAATAGACTGGTCAGAAAAACCTAATTTTCACATCAAGAAAGTACAAATATTTTGTCAATGGTTTATCTGGATGCCTTGATATTAGTGGAAATATTTGACATTCTTCTCAAATGAGGGGAGCATTGATGCAGAAATAACTGAAATGGAGGAAGAAGAAGCTATATATTCTTCTATTATTTAGCAAGGTTATGTCACATGGATGAGAAATTTTCAAGAACATATAAACTATGATATTTTGGTCCATGCCAGGGAGATGTATTCATCTGAAATTTCTTGCTCGGAAGAAAATAGTGTAGTGAGGTACAAAAGGGAATCTCTTTCTCGCTAGCATGCACTAATATCTAGCCGAGTAATTGGAATAATAGTGCATCCATAGTTCTCGCTATCATGGCCTCTTATCTAGCTGAGTAATTGAGAATAAAGGGCATCTCTCTAGCTATAATTTTGTTCCTTGTGAAAAAGATATCCTAATGTGTTGCCTAGTTGATAATAGATTGTACAATGGTTGATGTTATAATGTTGTCATTATTCCTAGTAGGAAGGACTAATCTCGATCCATTACTGATACTATCCTCGGTGGAACTGTTATGTTCTTTGTCAGACCATCTTCTGGACTATTTAACCTAATAAAAATATTATTTTTTGTATTTTTCTGCTTAAAAATGAATAAGAATATGTTTCTAAGAAAGCATGAGCAAAAAAACTTGTAAAAATGCTCGAACTGGCACTTGATATATGTATTACAAACACAATTGTAAAATTGACATCCTTATAAATTCATGTACGAAAATTAGAAGCATGCATGTCATACCTTTTCAATTACTACTACCACCAAAAAGAATCCTTGTGTTATAATGATATGTTGGTCCAAGTTCCCAATGTAACTTGATTGTTGATCAAATTTGTGATTTTGAAAAACCCACACATGTTACTACTCCCAGGATATCTGATTTGATATATTGTATGGCATTGATGAAGCAAAGTTGTAAGAGTCATGGCCTTCATGGTCATTAAGTACAACTAAGGCAATAACCATTATGGAGGTTGGCATAGGCTGTTGGGATACGTATTGGCGTGACAGATATGTCTATATTAATTAAAATTGCATTGGCTTTCTGTAGTAAAACTACTATTATCATCACCATAGAATTACTACTATCAATTTATTATCACTATTGGCATTGTGAGTTGTATCTTGTATGAATCCTTCTACAAACTGTGACCAATTATCCACATCATTTTCTAGCCCATGAAACATGTCCTGGTTAAGTCAGATGGGAATCAGGAGAGATTCCCACCTGACTTAATTTCATGTAACCTCTCACTTGTTTTCTCGAAATCATCAATTGTCTTCTCTTTTTTCTTGTATTTTTTGACCATATAAGTGGATTTGTATGTGCCACTATAGTAATATCTTAATGGAATATGTGAAATATTGTTTCGTAGTCCCTATCAAGGGGTTGAACAAGAGCTGGTCATTACCCATGGCATAGCTTATATGTGGGTGACTTACATGCCTTCCTTTCCAGGTCTTCCTTATGTGGCCTTTGTGCATTTGGTCACTTCGGAAACTCCACTTATCAATGCTTTGATTTGGTTGTTCCTCCATTGTGACCTAAGTGATTTGGATCTAGGTTGGATCTGGACCAAGGTTCGCAATATCGTACCATACCGGAGTTTCGATCTGGGCTCGGTACCGGTATGGTACGGTATACCGCTCGGTACACCCAGGTGTACCGAGCGGTATATTCAGGCGTGCCGAGTACTGTAGCAGTTCTACAGTACTGTAGCAGTACTGCTACAATTCTACAGTACTCCTACAGTACTACTACAGTGTCGGAACGGTAACATATGATCCGCGTATCGAAAGTCTGTCGGACCGGTACGTACCGCCCGTACCGGGCGGTATGGACCGGTACTGCAAACCATGATCTGGACATAACTTGGTCGGATCCAAATCTTGGCAGTATTTGAAAAGATGTTTGCTGAATTCTGATAAATCTTAGCCAGATCTGAGTGGATCCAGTTTAGACACAAGGAAATTAATACTAGATTTGTGTCGTTCCGACCTCATTTTAATAAAATAATTAGTTAAACTTTGATTGATAGATCTACAAAGAAATTCAAAATTTAAGAATGAACCATTAGCTTCACTTTGAAAGAGAACTTTGAGAAGATTGTAAGGAGATTACGAGAAGATGAAGAGGAAGAAACTTTGTATCTATTTGTTGTATTTGCTGTGTACATCACAACCCTATTTATAGGGTGAAAGTTAATCAAATCAATCCCATAAATTATGGGACTTACACAAATCAAGGGATGTCAAAACCCATTTGTGTTGTAGGATTTAGGGGAAATATCTAATCTTCTTACTATGGTAAGAATCATCATGTTCAATCAAGGGATATGAGATCTCTTTTACATAGTAAATTTGACATCTTGCAAAGTTAAGATGGTGTAGTAGATCCAGTTTAAGTTTGGAAGCTAAGAAGCTAAATCGTGATGATGATAATAGTTTGGTAAATATGTCTGTTGGTTGATTGTCAGTCTTGATTGAACAAAGTTGCAGGTTCCCATGTTGAAGATGATGTCATATAAAATGACTGTCGATCTCAATATATTATGTGCTTTCATGGTAGACATTGTTATGAGCGATTTGAATAATGCTAGAATTGTTACAACAGAGTTGTGTCGGAGACTGAAATGAGACCCCTAAATCTTGAAGTAATTGCGTAACCAAAGTAATTCTGTTGTAGTATTAGCAAGAGCATGATATCCTGCTTCAGTATTTCAACGAGCAAGTGAGCAACAACACTTTATTTCTAACTCCTCCAAGTTATCAAAGCATCACCTAAAAGAAAGTAATACCCGTAGTAAAACGTCTATTAGTGGGATGCCTTAGTTAAAAAAATGGGGCCCATTTAAAATTGTTCTTTTAATATAGCATAAAATCTGAAGTACAGCAGCATAATGAACAAGCCAAGGTGTCGATATAAATTGACTAACTAAATGAATTGCATATGATATATATATGGACGTGTAACAGTAAGATAAACAAGGCTGCCAACAAGTTGTCAATAAGGAGTTGCAACTTTTAAGGGCTCTTCATCTACAACACAATTTAATATTTGGTTCAATAGGTGTCAGATACTTTATTATTAAAAATATTGGCTTGAGTAAGAAAATCAGTGACATATTTGGCTTGACTTAAATAGTAACTATCAGAAGAAGATACTTCAATCCAAAAAAATAAAGTAAGAGGGCCAAGATTCTTAATTTCAAATTGTTTATGTAGAGAATTTTTTAGATCTCAAATTCCAATAATATCATCGTGGAAAATAATAAATCATATTATTTACATAGAGTAGAAGGATAGTGGCATGTTGATTGGTTTTGCAGAGAACAAAGCAGTATTATAAGCACTTGACTGAAAATCTGATGATATCATAGAATAATTAAATTTGGTAAACCAAGATGGGGAGCTTGTTTAAGTCCATATAAAAACCTTACGTAATCGACAAGCTGGGGAGCTTTTTAAAGTTCATATGGAGATTGATGATAATAACAGAAGATGGGGTGTGATTAATTACATATACAACTGTAAGAGATGCTTCACTCCAAAAAGTCTTAAGAGCAGAAACATGTCACGGACAGAGGAAAAAAATGTATCTATGCTTTCATTCTGCATGCCCATTTTGTTGATATCTCCCTGCACATGAATATTCTGAAATAGTTTCATGTTGACTAAGAAATGAAAGAAACTCTCTAGATTTGTATTTCTTAGGCATTGTTGGAACGAAAAGTTTTAATGGTAAGAGAAAATTGAGTTTGAATCATTTCAAAAAAAGTTTTATATATATCAAAAAATTTAAATTGGTTATACATAAAAAAAAATTATGTAAAATGTGAGAAATCATCAACAAATTGTTGATGACAAAATAATTAGATCCACTGATAGTAGGTATAGGAGATGAACCCTATCAATCAAAATGAACTAAATCAAACAGTGCAGAAGCAATAGAACTACTAATAAGAAATGGAAGAGCAATAGAGCTACCACCAGGAAATGGAAGAATAGTTTGTTTTCCCATTTGACAAGACATACATTTGAAATAATGAGAAGAAACTTGACCCAATTGACCACCAGTGACTAAAGGTTCTAGTTGAGAAAGTGAAGTATGTACTAATCAAGATACCAAAGACCCA